AGTTTCTTTATCAAATCATCTGTTGAAGGGCATCTAGGTAGATTCCACAATTTAACCATTGTGAATTGTGCTGCCACAAACATTGATATGGCTGTATCACGGCAGTATGTTGTTTTTAAGTCCTTGGGTATAAACTGAGAAGTGGGATAGCTGGGTCAAATGGTGACTCCATTCCAAGTTTTCCAAGGAATCTTCATACTGCTTTCCATATTGGTTGAATCAGTTTATAGTCCCACCAGAAACGTATGAGAGTGCCCTTTTCCTCACATCCTTGCCAGCACTTACTGTTGTTTGTATTCTTAATAGCTGCCATTCTGACTGGTGTGAGATGAAATCTTAGAGTAGTTTTAATTTGCATTTCTCTAATTACTAGAGATGTTGAAAATTTTTTTTCATGTGTTTATTGACTGATTGTATATCATCTTCTGAGAAGTGTCTGTTCAGGTCCTTGGACCATTTATTGATTGGGTTATTTGTTTTTTTGGTTCTAAGTTTTTTGAGTTTTTATATATCCTAGAGATTTTTCATAGTTGTAGATGGACAGAATGCCTTTATTTTATTTGCTTATTTTTATGTGGTTCTAAGGATTGAATTCAGTGCTTCACATGTGCCAGGCAAGTGTTCTGCCACTGAGCCCCAGCCCTTGATTTTTATTATCTTTCCTTTTCAAGTATATTTACCTTATTTCCTACAAGTTTCTTAGGCATGAAGGTATTTTTGTTTTGTTTGTTGTATTTTATCCTCTTCCCCAAACCCAGTACTCTTTTGTTCAACAAAATCCAACAACTGTGGTTTTTCAGCTAAAGACTAGGGACCAGGACAAGGGATATAATAGGTATATGTCAAAGTTTCCACATTTTCCACCCAGAGAAAGTTGGGAACTACAGCTGGAAAAAAATTTGTAATGAATTATTGCCTTTAGTTTACAAAGATGCCTATTCTTAGGAAAATAAAAATGAAAGTAAATACTTGGGCTTATCACTTTGTACTTAGAAGGGGCTGTGAAATTCAGTGACGTATTCCCTTTGCTGGTTGAAGGAGTATGAGCATTAAAAATCAGTTCAAAATTCCCTGTCCTTTTCTTCCTGTCTTCCCTTCAGAAAAGTTTATTTAGCACCTATATACACAACAAACATCCTAAAATGAAGAAGATATAGTTCTAGTCCTCAGGTTCTGGCATTTTAGTGAAGACAGGTGGACTATGGTATGACAACTGCTGTAATAGACCTCGTCTGAGATACTTTGGATACACAAAGGATGGAACTTAGCTCAGACTTAAAGAGTCACAGAAGATTTCCTGAGAAGGAAGGGGTATCTAAGTTGAACCCTGAAAAACAAATAGGTAAAGGGTGGATGGCAGTGGTAGAAGTTGAGCACTAGTAAGCAATTGGGCAGATAAGTCTATTAGGCCTTCGATATAAAGGTCAAAATTTTTAAAAAATTTATGTGTGGGTTTGCAGAGTCTTTTACCTAAAAATGACTCAAAAGAGCATCTCTTTATAGTACAACTGTTGGAAGTGCAGAGTTAGGATCAACAAGTTCTAGTCACCCATCTTGACCTAGAGCCCATCCGAAATTATCAATAAGTCAAACTCCAGCTTCCTTATCGTGTCTCTTCTTAACTCTCTTTGGACAGTGTCTTGAAATATTTGCTTATTCTTCATACAGAAGCACTAAGAGAGACATTGTCAATTGTGGTGTAAGGGATAACACAGCTACTCAACCAATGCTGTGAAGCATTCTTCGTTGTGTATATATTTCTTCATTGTATAAACTTAGCACAGAAGGCACATATTTTATTTTGTAATACAGGAGAATCCTATTTCAATTCTTGTTATTTCTCATGTAATGTTATCTTACTACACTATAAAATGGAGGAAACCATTATAAAATAATAAAAACCATTATTATTTTTAAGAATCCATTTAAGGAAAGTAACAAGACTTCAGATTTTTTAAAACCTTTAGCTGTGGTATCAGAGCATAGTGTTTTCATTCTTCAGATAATAATAAGATTAAAATAGGCATTATTTTTTTTTATATTTTCTAACATAAAACTTGGTTAAAAATAAAGTGATGTAATAGAATTCACCTCACTTCCAAGAAAAGTAGATTATTTTACACAATATACTTTCAAATTTGCCAAAAGGAAATTTTATTTTTTCAAAAATATTCTGCTTCACAGATATTGTTTATAGAAGTATATTTTTTATACCCCCAAATCCTTTTCTCTATTTAATGATTCTGCAGAAAATCGTCTAGTATGTTTCCAGAAAAGAGAACAAAAGATTTCTGATTGAGCTTTGTTCACAAAGGAGGAGGTGACAGATGGCACAGGCCAAAAGAGCCAAAGATGTGAAAAGCCAGAACATGGGTTTCAAAGTTAGAACATTTTAATTCAAGTCTCTGTTTTTCCTTTGCTAACTCTCTTTTTACCTCCAGACAATAGGGGAAATAACCATAGTTTCCTAAAATGCTTTGAGGTCTGAGTCCTTAGAAGGATATAAATCATTACAAATATATGATAATTTAATATAATCACTAGTAGTGATATAATAATATTTTCTTAGAAAAACTTTGATAATAACTTTCCTAAAATTTCCCTGGAAAATACATTGGCTAAGTTTGGGTATTATAGTGGATAAATTTATAGGCAAAAGGATTAAAGTAATTTCAATTGCAACTCAAGGTAAAAAAATCATAGATAACTAAATAAATAAATGAATACATTTCTTTACAAGTTGATACAGGGTCTCACTTGCACTGTCTTGTTTTTTAATAAACTATCAGAAGGAATGTCTGCCTAATAAATACTAAAATTTTACTCTAATAAATAGAGTAAAATGATTATTTCATGTAGTTCTTTGCAATTTTCTTTACCTTTTAGTAGTATCTTATTTGAAAATTAAAGTTTATTTTCTTCTAGGAAGGAAAAAAGTAAACTTCTACTGATAGAGGTATTGCATGGGTTTTCTCAAACCCAAAGTATGTAAAGACTGTTATGTACAGCAATCAAACAGAAAAATAAAAAGCTTATGTTAGTGTTTCTGTAACATTAGTTAGCCATTTGGAAACTGCATTTTTATATTAAAAACCTTTAATGAAAATATCCCCTCTACTTTAGTTTTATATTCCTTAAAAAGAGAGAGGCATATGTCAGAAATTTTGATAACTGAAAAACGTCACTTACAGAATAATCACTACTAATCATATGACTGCAGTTGTGAAAAGAACTGTGAGTGGGTGCCTACCAGTATGTACATATATACTTTTTAAAGGGCCTTCAAGATGGATACCAGCTGCTTACACTACCTTTTTCTGGTGAAGTGAGAAACAGTGTGTACAGGGGCAGGGGATGATGACATTTTTGTTTTGCCTTGAATGCTGTTTTATTTGAATCTTTGAAATAAGTATTTGCATATTGCTTGTAATATACACACATGCACACAGACGTACACAATGAACTACAGGAGGAACTATTTACACCTTCTTACATTATCACTGCTGCCACTTGACAACACCTGGACTTGTGCAATATCTACAAATGCTGTCTTCTAAATGCACATGAATCAAAATACAAGTACCTAATAAACATTCCAAGAAGTATAGCTGGATTTGATTATGTTTGGAATGTATCACAGATGTGTCGATAGAGGACATAACAGGCATGTTTGAGTTCAAGCTCTCTGAAATGGCCTGATGTGGGTATTTAAGAGGGTCACTCCACTCTGAGTGGATGAATGTAGCCCAGGCAGGCATGATTTATCTTGCTGAACTGCTCCACTGGGCTAGACATGATGCTCACCTTTTCATGCTTTTTTTCTCCACCCATTTTTTTTTTCTTTTGGTAAATTGTTTGACTTGTCTCTGAAAAACCCAGGAGACAAAAACATTCAACTGTTTACTCACTAAGTCAAAACCAGTGCTCTTTAAAATGTTGGCTGATCCTTTACCCCCTAATTACCTTACAACACTAAGCCCCTGACAGAAAGCCTGTCAGCAGATTTTATTTAGAACCCTTGAGGAAAAATCCTCTTGCTGTTTTCACTTTACACAGAAGATAAGTTTGCAAAAGGAAACATTTGGCAGTACTTCAGATGTGTGCTGTCTGGTGGTGTTGATAATGCAATTCTTTCTTTTGATTATGGCAGCATTTATAATGCTGTTTCATTCATGTAGACCATCATGCCCCAACTGACTGCATTTATCAAATGAACAGACACAATTCATGCAATCTCCTGAACTGTTTACCCTTTCTCCTACTATAAGTTAAGAATCTTGTCTACAGGCTGATTCTATATGATGAACTCAGTTGTTGAGAAAAGTCACACTCCTCTTGGTACACCTACAGAATTTCTTTTTTTCAAATAAAGGAAGTCAGCTGACCTGAGTAAAGAACACTGATAATTATGGATAATTCACTAATATTTATCATATGTTTTGAAGAGAATAAGTATCATGGAGATAAGTAAAATGTAGATTTCAAATGAGTATTTTTTCCTTTTGCTAATAGTTATATTCATATAATCCACAAGAGCCCCAGAATAAATTCTATTTGTATAAAAGTCACACTTCACCTAAAATATCTCCCAAATAAAAAGGTACCCAGGGAGATAAATCCTACAGTTATTTTTTCCCTTTCTAGTAGTAGAGATAAATAAATGTGGCTTGATATCTCTAAACCGTGTTCTTGAGCATGTATGATTAACATTCCAGAAATCATATAGGTTCTAAAACCACTGAAAAGTCTATCAAAATTGCACAATGCAATAGGTGAAAAGTCATCCGAGAAAATATTTTAAAAATAAATATGCTGGCTATTGTTTGGTTTAACTCCCATGGGTGAAGCATCATATTTCACAGCACAGCTGAGCAGTATAACAATACATAGTTTAAAATCACACACTATGGAAACAGACTATATCTATTGTCTATTTGCAAATGTAGGAACAGACAGAGGTGGAGGAGGTCACACATCAAATAAAAAAAGCATTTACTCACTGTGTTAAAATTTGGAAAGAGCCCAACAGCCGAACTACCGTCCACTGGAAAAGACATAAATGGTTTGATATCCAGTGAAGGCTGCATCATCAGAGTAGGAGTGCGCACAAGAGCAGGAAGGGTAGTAGTATGGCATGTACTGCCTGCCAAGAACAAAATGAAAATGAATTCAATCTCTTGCTCACATCCATCTCCCTCCCAATCCTACATAGCCAAAACAAGGTCAGTGAGCTGCTACCTGCAAACAAGAGAGTCACACTGAAAGTAAGCAAGTGGCACAAGAGTAGTAAATATGGTCAAAAGACATCTTCTTCCTCATTGTCTAAGATAGTGATATAGAACACTCTCCCATGGCAAGAGCCAAGGTAGCTCAGACTCAACAAGACACAGTACACAGCTTCTACTGGAAGGTAGGGGGAATAAGAATGGCCTGGTGCCCAAGCAGGTTGCTTCTAAGTGGCCAATAATTCAGGAAAGAGAGGGGTGGGGCCTCCTGAAGCCAGATGCTCTTTACTACATTAAAAGAGTAATAGACATTTTTTTTTCAAATCAAAGATAAAAGATTTTTGCAAGAAGAAAACTTAAGACTCTTAGAGTTACTGTTTGAAAGTTATGACTCAATTTGTTTTATTTAAAAAAACAACCCAAAAGCTGGCCTTTGAGAGAAAGAAGCAGTATATACATTGGATAGTCACAGAATGTAAAAGGGTCTGATTATAGCCTGGTTGTGGACAGGGTATTGGAGACAGAGAGTACTAAGGCAGGAACTCAAATTTTTGTTGTCAACTATCAGTTCTAATGAGTTTTGTATTATTTTAGTGATTATCCCTTTTGATCTTATATCAGCTGTTAACCCTTCATGTGAATAAGAGATTTGAAATCTCCCCTCCAGCAACAAGCATTCTTGTTTAGTCTTCAACTTTCATGTAATATAGATAAGCAGTGGCTGGTTCAGGTGGCTTTCTGGGAGATAGGCATGTAACAACTTTATTTAAATATAATTCATAGATGGGAGGGGAGGGGAAAGGGGGAAAGGAAGGTCAGCAGAATAAAATAGACATTATTATTGCTGTATGTATATACGTGACTGCATGACCAATGTGATTCTGCAACCTGTACACTCAGAAAAATGAGAAATTATACCTCATCTGATTCAAATGTATGATATGTCAAGATCATTGTACTGTCATGTGTAACTAATTAAAACAAAAACAAAAAACAAAAAAATATAATTCATATACCAGACAATCCACCCAAAATATACAATTCAGTAATTTTTAGCATATTCACACAGTTGTACTAACATCACAACATAATCTATTTTCTTGATCTCTTAAAGAACATTTTCATGATCTCTTAAAGAAGCCCTATCCCCATTAGCTGTCACTCCCCATTTCCACCCAACATCTCCAGCTCTTGACAACTACTAATCTATTTTCTGTCTCTAAAAATATGTCAATTCCAGGCACTTCATTCAGATGAAATCATACAATATGTGGTCTTTTGTGAGTGGCTTCTTTCATTTGACATAGTCTTTTCAAGGTATGTTCATACTGTAGCCTGTATCAGAATTTTATGCCTTTTCAAGGCTGGATAATATTCTGTTGTACGAATGTCACACATTTTGCTGCTGTTCATTAATCAGTTCATGGGCATTTAGATTGTTTCCACTTTTTTGGCTATTATGAATAATGCTACTATGGATATTCGTTTATAAGTTTTTGCGTGGACATATGTTTTCAGTTCTCTCAGGTATCTGCCTAGGAGTGGAATTTTGGCAAACACTGAGTCATATGGTACCAGATAGTTCAACATTTTGAGGAACTGCCAGACTATTTTCCAAAGGGGCTGAACACTTTTACATTACCACGAGCATGGTTGGAGGGTTCCAATTTCTCCTGGCCTGACTACACAGGATCACAAAATAATCATATGCCTAAAATCCCCTGCTGACTTCAAGGAGAAATGAACAGTATGAGAAAAGGCTCTAACTATTAAAATTTCCACCAACCTCTTACAGTGTCCCAGGGTCATTAAAATTCCTATTTCAATGATTTTTTTTGTAATGAATTTTCTTAATAAACTGCATCATATTTCAAATCATTTCAGAACATTTATTGCCAATTGTGTTCAAGGGACTGTCACACCTGTTTTACACTGATCCTAAAAATTGGGAGAAAAAGAAAGGAGAGAGGAAAAAATAAAAGAAAAGAAAGGGAACCTGAAGCATTAATCTGTAATGATAGTTCTTCAGGTCTGCCCCATTCATTAGGAAATACAGACAAAGATTCTGCAGAAAGAGACTCAGCGAAAATATAAGTGTAACAGTAATTTTGTTTGTTTATGTTTTTGATGAACAAGTAAATACTCTAAGCATGGTATTCACATAGCCACCCTGCATTTAATTACATATTACTCTTCTAATTAGGTAATGCTATATCCATTGCTAACTTCAGTGATTGTAGATCCAAGATGATGTATTATATCAATATATCAAATGTTGCAGAGGCACTTATATTATTAAAATGCTTGTTTTAAAAGCTTTGCTTTAAAATCTTAGTTAAATTAAAAACTAGAAATATTTCTTAAATTAGATCAGAGCCTTTTATGATTTATTATTACTATAATTATTAAAAGTCTAAAGTACAGAGAATAAGTATACAGAATCATTCTACTTAAGCTGCCTGATGAACAAATTTGTAATTATTTTGCCATTGTAGATCTCCCAAAGGAAAGCTAGGTTCTTTCTCTGAACCCACAATGGTGGCTCTGATAACATTGTGTAGTACAGGCCCTCAGGACCTGCTGAGTTACTTTGTACCAACAAACTCAAATCAAATAGAATGCAACAGGGAACTTGAATAGAGATTGCTCCATCAACAAAGGTCAGAATGCACAATGATCCCCCTTACCCAATCAAATCTCTATGCTAATAAAGACAAAGCTTGAGAACTACTTAGCTGCCACCATTCATTAGCATAAAAAACTTAGCAGCTGCTTACCATTTCATTAGCATTTTAATGACAGACAATTTGCCATGTTAAACACAGATTGTTATAAAGTACTGGTGGATCTTCTGAATAAATATAAACTGTGCTTTTATCAATTCTTTTACCTCAACTTGCTGTTTTCACTTTTCACCAAAACTGATTGCTTCAAAGAAAGTTTTTGCAAATGGAAATAAATGGGGGATAAAGTGTATCCCCCCCCCCTACAAGTTATTTTTCATGCTTTGATCCTCTATCACCTTATTCCAGATTTTACTGCTACTGCTATTGCTGCTGGGAAGCCTTTCTCCTCACCTCTGGGTGCCTGAATGTCAGTGGGAATTACTAGCAGAAATTTGGCCAAAATGCATTCCACCCTGCAAAAAAATGCTTAATTTCTCCCCAAGTCAAAGACTTGCTGAGAAGGGGAAAAAGGCTGAAAATACAGTAAGTGGGCATCTCAATGCAAAAGTATACCCTTTACATTGCTGTTCTCATGGGATAGAAGCAACCTTTGACTTTTGTAGAACTATTTGGAAGTATTATATAAGGCTTTTATGTTGCTCTGTTTTGAAACCTAAGATACAGACTGGTATATATCACAATGAATAAAATCATAATAGAGCTTCACCTTATTTAATAATAATAATAATATATCTCAAACTGTCTGTACTAAAACTAGATATACATGTAGTATGTAAATTTCACAGATCTAACAGTTACCACTGTTACCAGGTCCATCATATTATTATTCTATATATGTCCATATAATCTCCTGTAAGAATGCAATTAATCTCCCAGAAATTTCATTTTGACAGTGAAACACGTAAGGACAAGAGAAAATTTCCTTTCCACTCTCTGAAGTTACACTGAAATGACAATAACAGGTTAACAGGAGAGAAAAAAAAAACATACATAAACTTATCAACACACATAAGCTCAGGAATCACACAAAATATGAAACTCAAAGGAAAGGTCAGATGGTTGAAGCTTAAATAACCTCTTCACAGGGGAGTGGAAAATGGAGGGTGCTCAGGTAATTTTAAAGGAGAAGCAAACAATTTTTAGAAGAAATGGATGAGCCCAAAGAACTCATCAATGCTGAAAGGTGTAACAAAGTCAGGAAAGCAATAAAAAGAGAAAATCAAGTTCTGGAAATAAATCTAAGATGTTACTTACATTAATTACTTTAAAGAAATATTTGGAAATTCTATAATTGAAATACCCCTAACACACACACACACACACACACACACACACACACACACCCCATAAATCTTCATGGTGTGTTAAGTTTTATATTTCAGCACTGAAGGGGACATACATAATAATAGTATAGGAAGAAACTACTGCAGTATATATAATAGACCTAATCTCCTGTAAATGCTCAAAGAACTCAACAATTTCCTGGGACAAAGTTCCTCTGGGTTCTAGAGGAGGTAGCAGCCAGAAGTTACTGGAAGGTGAGAGGTGGAACTTTACTGCCAAGGAAGGTTGTCTTATTGTGCAGATAAAGTGTCCAAGGTAATCCCTTGGAGCTGCCCTCAAGAGAATAGGTGAAAAGTCTATCTGGGAGGGGTGTCAATTTTTAGTCTCTTCTCTTTTGTGGTGGTTAATCTTTCCTGGTTATTTGATGAGATTTCTAAAGAGGAGGTTGAAGACAATTCTTTTGGAAGAATTTCTTTAGTCAGAGAAAGGAATTTCAGAGATGGTGTCCCTTTTGTGCTCAGGGTTCAGGAGGAGAAACAAAGTCCAATTTCCTTTAATTCAAAGTGCTCAGCACTTCAAAGCTTCATTCTTTTGGGTATGATTTTCTGAGCCCTAACAAACACAGCTGAATTCATCTATTCCCTGAAACCAATAATATGTGAAAGATTCAAAACTGTGATTGTATTAAAAAATATATTTCAGCCAACTGTCTCTGTAACATAATAGGTACTTTATCATGTCAATGGATTATGTCATAATCCATCACAATAAAACTTCATTTGAGGACCAAGTGACACTTGAAAGTATTACCTTAGTCTTTGACCTTTAGAAATATTATATTGAAGCCTCTTTTAGGATATAATCTGAGGCTTCCTAGTGGCTCTTATGTACCACAACAGAAACTAACACAGTTCATTCTTAAAAAGGAGAGTACACCAAAGTCACAG